TATATATATACTGATAGATAGTTCTTAAAAAGAAAAAATATATATAAAAATAAAATAATTATATACATGCATAGATAGCTAGACAGTTCTTAAAAATAATAAAATAAATAATTAAACAAAACATTACTGTAATAAGAATTCAGGTGTTTAAATTAATGCAAAAATTGTTAATTGCCCTAAAAACAGGAATAATTTTATTTGTGCACAATATTTTTTCTTTTATATATTTTTGGGTGAAATATGTTCAGTTATGGTGCATAGTCTACAGCGAATGGCGATGAAGATGGTGACACGAGTTTGACTCGCCGCTGTCTGGACCTGCTGCTCGGTGAAATCCTGCTGGAGCCAGTCTCTGCGTCCCTCACTCCTCTGGGCCCCCATCATTCACCATCAATATATTCTCAGCGGATCGATGAAGATCGATAGAAAGGCTCCAGGGGTTTCGTGATGCTGATCGGTAAGTGTGCACACCACCGCTGCGAGCTGACAGCAACTCAATGCAGTCAGATAGCCGGCGAGCCAAGTCAGACCCTTTTGAGAATAACAGGTTTAACGGCACGCGTTTCGAAACAATGAAGTTATCAGGAAAAAAAACACTGTTTGTCAAAGTTCGATAGCTCGATGAATTGTCAGTCGCTTCCTCAAGCTCAATAATACAGTGACGTGAACAACGTTCTTGCTCGAATTTCAAAATAAAAGTCTAAGATCGGTAGTGCGCATGCGCACCCGCACCATGGGCGTGGTCACGCGTCAGTCCCACACGGAGCGAGCGGCCATCATTGGTGTGGCACGGAAGACACTTGTTTGAGGCGAAATTTATGTCCAGATAAATATGTTCCGCAAATGTATAGAAAATATATATATTTTTTAAATAATATTCTTCTCACCAAGGATATTCGATAAAAGGACGTCACCTGCAAACTATGCATTTACCATGACACTAAACTATATATATATATATATATACAGTGGGTACGGAAAGTATTCAGACCCCCTTAAATTTTTCACTCTTTGTTATATTGCA